ATATATATATATACATATATATACATATATATATATATATATATACATATACAGAGAGAGAGAGAGAGAGAGAATGAGACACAGGAGAGACAGGGATATATAAAGAGAAGCGAAGGGGTATTAAACAACTAAGCCTCTAACAATTAGGGTTTAGGGTTTAGGGTTTGTGCGTTGCGTACAGAGTGAAGGAAGGTAAGACGGAAGTTGGTGTCGTAAGCATACACCTTAATCGATGCTGCTGCCATCTGCACAGCAGCAGCAGCAGCAGCAGCAGCAGCCGCAGCACGATTATAACCAACAGCCGCAGCAGCAGCAAGGCAACAATTCGCAGCAGCTGCTATGTGATTATTAACAGCAACAGCAACAGCAACACCAACAGCAGCAGCAGCACCACCGGCATCACCAAGAACAACAGCAGCACCACTACCTGCAGCAGCAGCAGCAGCAGCAGCAGCAACAGCAGCAGCAAATTACCTTCTTTGGTCTTAGAGTCATTGCTGTGACGGTTCCGACTATCAGCAGCGGCAGCCCCTCGAACTCGCAGCAGCAGCAGCTAATTGCTGCTTCATCTGTTTCATAAGTTAGCTTCTCAATTGTTGTCGCCTGTAGCAGCACAATAAATAAATAATAAATAAATAAATAAATAAGGATTGCTGCCGCTGGTACTACTGCCGTAGCTGTGCTACAGCTACAGCAGCAGCAGCACCTGCTGCTGCCCTTGCTGCTCTTACTGCAGCAGCAGAAGCAAGACCAGCAGTAACAGCAACACCACCAGCCACAGCAGCAGCAGCAACATCAGCAACAACATCAGCAACAACATCAGCAACTAGCAACAGCAAAAACAGCACCAACAGCAACAGCAACAGCACCAACAGCACCAACAGTCACAGCAGCAGCAGCAGCCACAGCAACAGCAGCAGCAGCAGCAGCAGCAGCAGCAAATGGCTGTTGCTTACGAGTAAAGGATTAACAATACGGAGGCAGCTGCCCCATTTGCCTTCGCCTGCTCTGAAGTTTGCAAGAGCATCAGCAGCATCTAAGCTGTCTTCTTCTGTCTCTCCTTCTGTCTCTTCATCGTGACTTAGTTTAATACCCTAAACAAATACAATTAAACTTCGCTTTCTTTTTATTTATTGAAGTATATATATATATATATATATATGTGTATATTTGCTTATTTATATACACAGATAGATAAAGATATATATAAACAAAAATATATATATATATATATATATATATATTATACATATTACATAAATATGTTTGTATATTTATATCCATGTACATGTTTATATCTTTCAATATATATATATATATATCTGTATAAATTTATATATATACGTATAACAATAACAACAACAACAACAACAACAACATAACAACAATAATAACAATAACAACAATAACAATAATAACAATAATAAAAATAATAAAAACAATAATAACAATAACAACAACATAATAACATAACAATAATAACAATAACAACATAATAACAATAATAACAATAATAACAATAACAACATAATAACAATAATAACAATAATAACAATAACAACATAATAGCAATAACAACATAATAACAATAATATAATAACAATAACAACAACAACAATAATAATAATATTAATAATAATATTAATAATAATAACAAACAAAGCATAGAAAGGATTACCTTGAGGGCCCTTCGTATCTCTAACTTCGTCGCCTCATCGTAGGCGTTGTGATCCGCCTCGCATATTGCTAAGGCCGGGACTCTGTTAGAAGCACCTTCGTTTGTTTCTGCAGCTGTTTAAATAAACAAATACACATTTATTTATTTATTTAGTTATTTAGTTAGTTAGTTAATTGTTTAATTGCTTAGTTGTTTGCTTAGTTGTTTGTTTAATGCTAGGTTGTTTGTTTGCTGTTTATTTACTGAGAAAGAAATGTATATTCTTTTATAATTTATATTTATACATATATATAGCATATATACATACAAATTAATAAACAATATATATATATAAATATAATATATATAATATAAATACAATAACATATAAATATAGCATATAAATATAAATATAATATATAAATACAAATAAAGCATATATACATAAATATAAAGATAAATATAATATATAAATATAATATAAACATAAATATATAATAAATATATTTTATATACTATATATAAATATATATATTAATAGCCTACCAGTGAAGTCAGTAAGATGAGGCAGCACAGCAAAAGCTCTAGGAGTAAAAGACAAGGACAAAGAAGAAGACGAAAAAATATCTGTTAGCCTCGGACACCTAAATATCCTCAGAGAGCTCCCGCAGATAGCAACGAAGCCGTCAATACACTGCAAACAATCAAACATTAATTGCATTTTATATTCATTTGTTTGTTTGTTTGTTTGTTTGTTTGTTTTGTTTGTTTGTTTGAAGGCTGTGGATGTGCGTCTTTGTTTGGTTGTATTTGATGCAATATATACGTTTAATTGTCTAATTATTTATCTTTATATATATATATATATAAACATATGCATTTATATACATACATAGATATTATATATTATATATACGCATCTATACATGTATAGATATATACGTATACATAAACGCCTACATATCCAAATGCATACAGATAAAAATATACATGATATATATATGTTATATATATATATGCTATATATATATATATATTAATATATATGTTATATACATACATATATATGTTATATACATATATATGTTATATACATATATATATATATTTATATATATGTAAATGGATGTACATGTATATATTTTTATATCTGCAATATAAACATACTGCAAATGAATTACATATATATATATGTATATAAGTAAAATAAATAAATATATATATATATATAAATAATATAAATAAATATATATATATATATATATACCTGTTCGGATGCAAAGGAAGCAACAGCTTCTAGAGCATCATAATGAAGAGGCGACGAAAATATACTTCCATGCGAAAAGAAAGACAGCCAAGACTTCTCGCTTAGTGCGATTACAGCAGGTCGACTGCCTAGCTGTAGCAAATATAGTTTTGCTGCGCGACCCCCTAGGAACCTCACTCTTTGATCAGATAATGCCCCTGTTGTAGGGTCAACAACTGATCTAAGCATTACTCCTGTGCTTAAACCGACCTGAATATTCATATATACATATACTCTTTAATTCTATGCATTTGCTGCGCTCCTAAACATTTTGATATATATAATATATATATATATATATACATATAGATTATATATTATATATGTTATATGAAGAAAGACAGATACAAATACATATATAGATATACAAATATATATATATATATATACAAATATATATATATATATAAATATACATACAAATATATATACATATATATGCTACTGAACTGAACGAAGCATTACTCGCAGCAGCAACAGCAGCAGCATCATAATAATCATCAACAGCAGCAGCAGCAGCATAATAATAATAATCAGCAGCATAATAATAATAATAATTAGCAGCAGAAAAATAATAATAATAATAATAATATGTTTGAAGAGGTATTGTCTTACATAGAGATAGACAGGTTGTTCGTTAGAATTTTCAGGGTGCAGCGTAGCAAGACAGACGGATTCGGGTGTAGCTTCAGCTGGTAGCAGTTGCGTGGATTGCTGTTTTAATTGTTTATCTTTATCTATGGCAAATATACGAACAACATTATCTAATCCGCCGACAGCAAGAAATGAAGCTCTTGTTCTACCCTCTCGCACTTGCTGTAGAGTTAAACATGTTATCTCAACATGCAACGATTTGCTGCTGCATTCTATCAATGTTCCTGCCTCATCTAGTTCAAATAGAATTAAATCTCCTCCTGTTAAGCCTACAGCAATCTGTCTTTTGTTTGCTGTTACGCATCTTATTCTTCTTAGTCCTGAAGGCTTCCAGAGAGAAACAGTATACTGCCCTGCAGAGTTCTTTTTAATGTGACGGACTTCACTCTCTATTACTTGAATATAAGAGTCATCGAATAATAAAGAAGCATAAAGAGTAGCAGCATTAGATATAAAAGGCGAGTCACTCATCTCCTCAATTGTTTCGCCTACTCTTAATATTAAAGAGCTTCCCTCAAAAGAAACAATAATATATCCGTCGAATGCACTTTCATTTGTTTCTTTTAATGTAAATACCCCTTTAGGTCGTCCGGGTAACTCATTATCAGCTAGTTCTTCTGTTGCTACACCGTACTGCATTATCTTTAAAGATGACGAAGGACCCCTACCGCAAAGAAGATATATTTGTCTTCCTCCTGTCTTCTGAGCATCAAGAATATGCATATCTATAATAGGTGAATAGGATACAAGTTCATCAGATATAACTAAATTCTTTAAAGCTCTTGGCTTAAAAGCAATAACTGCATCTCGTCCTAAAGGATGAGAAGAAGAGCAGCTTGCGTCTGTCGCATCAGCACCGATAGCAGTAAATTGATATAATATATGATTACCGAACTCAGCAGCAAGAAATAGGAAGCCCGATTTTAAGACACATAATGCATTTGCTACAGGTAAAGAATCAAAATATCTGCATACAATATCTCGAACAACACCTTCATCATGATGGACTTCAATCTTATATAGATCCCCGCACTCCGACTGAATTAAAATAAAGAAAAACCCTTTCATACGATGAACAGCATGAGCTGTAATCATTAAACCTTTATCTCCTCCTGTTTCTAATCTACGAGGATAAGCACATGCTAATTCTTCTTGATCTATCTTTCTATAAATTAATATATTCTCGCAGCATACTAAGACACCTCCAGGGCCTTCTTCATAGCTGTTTCCGCCAGGTATTGCGATTAAACAATGAGCAGATGCAGGTACAGCATAAGATGATTTCTTTACTACATGATTCAACCCTAAATCTACCTCCCAGAAGCATAATACTCGTCCTTCTCCTGCTGCTGCTGTTGCTGCTGCTCCTCCTGCATCCATGCATGCATCATATACACATATATGCATATATATGCTCATCTTCGTACACATTCTTAAATATCTTTCTCTAGTATATATATATATATATATATATATATA